ACAAAAAATAAGGCAGCTTGAAACAAAGTCGGATTGATAACATCGGTAAAATTAAACAAAAATTCCATTATTAAAACTTTTTTTTATTTTTTAATGAAAAAGTAAAATAAATCGTTACTATTTTCTAGAATTAGCAGACAAAGATATCGAAGCTGCGCGTATGCTGAAGGCAAAGGAACGTAGGCCTCTACGTATTCTGGCGACGTTCGCCGAGAGACGCACGAGAGACCTTTGGGCAAGGATGCGGGCGATTCTTCGTAGCGAGAGCATTTACGTCGTGCACTGAAGAGCTTAGTGCGGGCAACGAAGACATGTGCTAGGAAAAAAAGCGTACAAACTCGCAGGAATAAAAAATGGAAAGATTTTTGTGGGAGCGGAGAAGGGTGCGGCCGCTATTCAGATTGAAAGGGAAAGGGATCTAACTAAAATCAGGTGGTGGTGGAGTATTCTTTTGAGTCGTTCCACAAGTGGGATGCTTACACGAAACAGGCAATGGCGAAAGGTGGCTACGCTACTACGAAACTAAGTCCATTAATCATAATCGCCAGTAGCGTCCTCAAGCGTTTCGATCAGTAAGATCGAAGTAAGATCGAGTAAATTTTGGAACACGACCAAGCATACGAGGGCCCGGCAGAACAGATGGACAGCAATGGCAGGTGGCGCGTGACGTCAAGTCTGACTAAAGCGCTGGATACTATACTAAATATTCAGCACTTTAAGTCTGACGAGCACGGAGGTCACCGAAAAGCGGAGGAAGCGAGGAGGAAAATCGTGATGTTTGCTCGGTGGTGTTCAAACAGACATCGTACTGCCGGACGCTTCAACTTCCACAATTTTAACAGAGTCATGTGTCCTCACGATTTCTGAAGTGTCCTGTTTGGACAAGCCTTAAAGGAGTGCTTGTGCACGCTTTTTATCGTTTTTTTGCAAAAATTAATAAATAAATAAATAAATACAAAAAAATCACTCCTTGAAAAGTGAAAGTTCTGCCCGCGCCTGTTGCTCACCCATTTCAACCTTGCAGTAATCCATGAAACATTATACGGTCACCCAGGCAAAGTAAGATCGTTTCTAATCTTGTAGGGTCATATGGCGACTAAGAGAGTTCCTTTAATCCGTCATGTGCTATATTACACTGTAAAGGGGGTTACACTGCGGCATCTGCCGACTTCAGGGCACAAAGACTTGATCTTTTCAAAGCGGGGGCCTGACAATGCCCCAGAAGTCAAGAACTGCGCCTTTCCTCCCATTACGTCTCCACAATATAGTCACTGTAAGCTCGGAAACGCAGGACCTGGCGTGTCTCGGGCACCTTCGCTAGCCTTCGCAGCCAATGGGATTGCAGAATTGGCCGTTATGGGTGCCGAAGAACCAATCACGAAGCATCAAGTGGGAAAGTAACAAGCTACAGATCATTTCACTTAGTTACTATGGATCATTCCACTCCACGTCAATTTACTGACCTGTAGACAAAAGTGACAGCGTGCCTCCCGCACACTGCCACTTTGGTCTACTGGGCGGTGAAAGGCGTTTCCAGCATGCGCACTTACTTTATCCTGGGGAATTATCAGATAAAGCACAGGAGTCTGCTACAACATAGTTACGTTGTAGCGCCTACACAAGTCTACAACCCAGTGACTTGGCGTTTTTCGCCTCGGTGGAAGTCAAATTTGCAAGTTTTACGCGTCAAACCGACGAAGGGCACCTGACCAATAGCACCTAGAAGACAAGGCGTGCGCACGACGCCATCGTTAGTAGATCCCCGACCCGCCCCAAGCGGCAAACAGGCTGAAGCTTGACGAGAGTATGGGCCACGTCACAACTACGTCGCATTCACCGGCGGCCATTAGCGGCGAGATGTTTTGGTGGCGCCCTCCTATGGTTCCTCCTTGTAACGTCATTACCTTGCAAACAACAAGTTCGATGGTGTTTGTAAATAGCATGGTGGAAGCTTGAAATCATTGCACTCTCAAAGGAACACTGCCAACACCGTCAAAATTAAAGTTCTTTCATTCCTCTTATTTCGTCAATGATAAATCCCCTTTCCGACGTCATAGTCAGCGTTCGGCCAATCGTGGAAGGCCGAACACAGCGACGCTCTCGGTCGCGAGCTGATAGCGAGTTCCCACAGTTCATTTGCAATGCGACACCATCAAGATTGCCGGTCTCCTACTAATGTGAGCTCGTTCTGAGCATGCGCTTTAAACAGCTCCCTGAAATATGCCGCCCAGTGCCAGCGTCCAGGAAAGGGCATTGCAGCCCTTCGCACAACAGTAAGGCATTTCCACTTATGCATTAAGCGCTCCACATGAACTTCATCATCTGCTATAGCGATCGACACTCGGCGTGAGCATGTTTCATTATCTACTATAAAAACCACTGAAGCAGGCGATGGAGCAGACGATGGAGGAGACGATGTTGCAGACAACGGTGCTCATCCGGGCTACCTAGGGGGCGCTGAGGGGATCTACTAGTGTTGACTTTTAGAAAAGGAAACGTCCAGGCCTTGTCGTTTAGATGGTATTGGCCTGACACGCCTTACCAGAACACTCATAATTAATTTCTATGACCCACGTGGATCTTTTGACGTACAACCAAAATCTCGGTCACACGCGACGCCTTTCTCCGATATAAGCCTCCGTCAGGTTGCGGACACCTCGTCCGGGACTCAAACCCGCCACCCCGCCTCGGGGATAAACAACGGAAAATGGATCTAGTGAATCCGCGCTGCGCCTCCTGGCTCAGATACGAGTCGCCGCGAGTTCGCCTTGCAGAGCTTCACTACCGGCGCAATGCAGGACACGGCGAAGCCAAGATTTCCGCGTCTACCGCTTTGCGGCCTACCCTCGTCCGACGTGTTTGCCGCTTGTCACGGTTTGGGGATCCACCAACGTTACTAGATTAGGTCAGTTCTGGAACTCCCGTGGAAGGGGTCTATCCCCCCCCCCCCCCCTTCCCGCCCTCTCCCCCTCTCACTCACCTCAGTCCGCCTTCCGTCGTTTGGAGCGCCATCTAGATTTTTGTTTCATAACTGTGTGTTTCATACAGCAGAGCTGGAACGCCATCTAGACGCTGTGCTTCGAAACGCATACGTATTCCATAGAACACACTGCAGTTACCATAGCAGCCATCCGGCGCTTCGAACGAACGACGAGAGGCCTATGAGCAAATTCAGTTTCTCCGCTAGATTTAGCGGGAAAATTTACGTCGTGACCTCAACGCACTGAGTGGGTATTAAGGCCACGTGACGTCAATTCTCCCGCTAAATCTAGCATGGTTACGCCGACGCTGACGGCGACGCCGACGCCGCTCAACCCAGAAACGGGCGCCTAAGTGCTGCGCTCTAAAAAAAAAAATGCAGATATTTTTTTTTTTTTAAAATGCGCATATGGTATTGAAACAGTGAGTAGTCACCGACTGCTCACCCTTGCTTACGTCTCCCAGGTGCGACTACTCTTGTTACCAGCAAATCTAAAATTTAGGGGGTCGGTTGGTGATTCCCCCCCCCCCTCCCCCCCCCCCCAAAAAAAAAAATCCGTGAATGAAAAAAAAACAAAAAAAAAAAAACACCGGTTAAATGCCGTCCCGTCCTTGAACGTTCGAACGTCAAATAAACATCAAAATCCGGTACATAAAAAAAAGCTGTCAGCTTATGAAGAATGATAAAAGAGGCCGGAACATCTGCGTGACACAGAAAACGAGGGCTAACGCTGCCCATCTCTGTCAGTCTTATTTCCTTTACAAAGGAGGCGCACCCTGTGTCATTCAGACGTTTGTTGCATTATTTTTTTATGAACTGCCTGAAATTGGGAGTACTTGGCGCAGCACCTTGGTCCTAAAGGCGCCTTAACTGCACAATTACGTGTATAACCCCCCCCCCCCCTTTCCCCTTAAAAAAAAAACGGAAAATATTGCTTTACAACGTTTATAACATTTTAATACAACCTGCATGGAAAATAAGACACAATAATTGCGTGACTTCGGAAAGCAATACGAAAATCTAACCGCCACTTTTTTCGAGTAATATCTAATAAAGATTTTGTCAGATTACCTAATCACTAAGGAGACTGCTGGGAACGTAGGTACTACGCGCGCAGAACGCGCTCGCTTTAGAAGGTTAGAAGTAATTGGTGAATGCACATTCAAAGTGCCTTGTGGTTTAGATATTTGTTTTAAAAACGTAACTGTTGCATAGGACGGGATGTGCAGTGCACGTAACTGCCCTCGTTGTATTGTGCATAGTGGCTGAAGGGTAATTGAGTCAGACGTTTATTGCTTTATTACTCGATTGGGGTGGAGTAATAAAGCACAATTATCGAAGATTTTTGCGCCTGGTGTAAAAGTAATCATAATCGACATTCTGGGTAAGCTGTACAAGACTTGTCTGTAATAAACGCCAGGCTAGTTGAATATGATACACGCCATCTGGAATGTTAGTCGAAAGTAACTTTTCTACTTTTCGCAGGCGTGGGAGCCAGAATGCCACCATAAAGGAGAGAATCTATGAGTAAAGGTTAAAATGTATCCAGAAGCCACAGATATCTATGATTTGAGTACAGTCAGACTGTGCCCTTGGTGTCTGAGCACAGACACAGAGGACAGATACATAGTGTACATTTTTAGTACGGCCAAGCGTGTTACAATCGCCTTCGGCTTTTTTGCGACGAGATCGGTGTTGCCATGGAAACCGAAGAGCGCTCGATGTGACGTATAGCGCAAGCAAGGCAGCCACCCTTTACCCTTTTATAGCAATTTCTAGAACGCGGTTTTCAATCCCCTTTCACAAATGTATATTCAATGGCAAATTAAGACATATCATTAGCTCAATAGTTTACTCTAACATCCTGTTCATTTCACAGAAGCCAACAGTGAACATAATGCGAGAAAACCTTTCGCAATTGAAGCTAATCACGTGCCATTTATCTTGATCACTTGTTGTAACCGAAAAGAGAATATAAACAAAACTTCCAGATCCGATAAGCAGTGGAATATTCACTCACCGAGAGATGCCCTCTTGTCGCCCACCAGCGCCGTATAGGAAGTGAGACCCGTCATGGCCGCACCGCTGGCATCCATTCCATGACTCCACTGCACAGCCGTGGCCTGACCTCCATGCTCGAAGCCCAGGTACTGGCCGTACTGGTGGCTCATTCCATTCACTTGCGTCCTGGGTGGACTCATCTGGTGCTGCGACGAGTGCTGAATCCTCGCTGTCGTCATCGAAGGCAAACCCGAACTGCTATTCATCTTGGCCGCGGACACGTAGTCCTCTTGATGCTGCGGCGGAGGCGTCTGGGCGGTCCACATTGCGTTCGTGGCCGTCATCATGACGGGACTAGAAGGCGAGGACGACTCTTGGGGTGAGTACTGGTGGTAAGACTTGTGATTCGGCTGCTGCATCTGCTGGTAAGGGCTGCTGGGAGAGTAGGACAGCGGCTCCGTGCTTGCTGGAGTAAGGTGGGAGTAGGTCGGGTTCGGATCCTCCAGAATGTTAGAGGCCTCTCTCGTTGGCCCCGAGGACATCCCCGAGGATGACACCGGAGGGTAGTAGGGAGCCGAGTGAACCGCACCGGAAGCCGGTTGGTACCTCAGCACTGTCGACGGGGCGCCTTCCACGATATGAGAACTCGACAAAGGCGTCGGCGTCTGGTAGTATCCGTCGCCGTAACTCCCCGTGTACTTGGGCGCGTAGTAGATGGCTGTCTCTGCCACTCCCGAACTCCTCGAGACCGCTGTCTCCTGGCCTTCGGGCTCCAGTGATTCGCATTTGATGGGCGACGAAGCATCGTGCCTTGGGTCCTCCGAATGCTGTTCGACTCCAGCGAATCCTTCGTCTCTCTCGGGGGAAGAACCGGACCCGTTGGACGGGTGCACCGCTGACGGATCCTGCTGTTGAAGGTCCACGGGAGAGTCATGGTTGACATCTTGCTCCTCATCGGGCAGCTCTTCCTTGATCCAGGTCTGGCCCGCCTGTCCCGTCTGCTGCGTCGGGTTGTGATGAGGGCTGCCCTTGTCGCCCATGTCTTCGGAGGGCTGCTTGGGGAAGGTCACCAGCTTTCGCATCTATCTGCTGCTCGATTATCGGCCCGACAGACTGCTTGCCTGTACCGGAGGGAGAAAAAAAGGAAAGGAAAGGAAATTGAATAGGAGTTATCTCCGCAGTGGGCATGTCTAAGTTAAGCAGACTACGAGCCCGGAGGGCAGTAGGCGGGTGAGGAGGCTGTGTGTGGAGAAGGTTTGCTTAATGCTGTTTCAAGTATCCTAGTCCGCGTGCAGCTCGTTCTGGAGCAACTGATAAGCTGGCCGGTTTTATCGACGAGCCGGGAAAGAGGCGGCGGGGACGAGAGAGATTAGGCAAGGTCACAACACGTTGATTCCAAAGTCTGGCCAGTAAAAGATGGATGACTGCGGATAAGCACAACAAAATCACGTTCTTCTGAAACTTCCGCGTATAAAAGGACGAAACAAAAGTAGGGTTGCCGGTTATGAATAACCTCACCGACTTGACGACCATCAGTTTTATGTTTTGTAGAGATATCACAGGTATTTATTGTTTTTGCGTATCTTCGCACGATTGTGTGTTTTTTTATAAATGTTTGAATTGTTGAAAGAAGGTTGTTGAAACAGGGAAAGCGGAAGGTTGAGGTCAATCTGTGCCCGCAAAACAGATCCACGCTTTCTCGGCTTAGCTGTTGATAAGATTTTGTTTTCTTCTCAAAATAAATTAGAAGTTTATATCCGTACGCCTGTGTTTTCGTACGTCTGTGTTTCAGTATTTCACGCTAAGCGTGTTTCATGAGCACTGCATGTTTAATTTTAGAATATTTATGCGTACTCCTGATGTCGACAGCGTTCAGTTCTTTGTTGCACCATACGTCGATGCGCGGCAAACGCTAGGAGTCTATGAAGCCAATCAAGCAATGCTTAAAGCGTCACGTCACTGCACTTGTCGTTTTGATAGTGGCTCCTTATGAAACTCAAAACTCAGAGAGTGCACCGTGACTTTGCAATTTAATTTATGTTTGCTGGTCTTATAGCTTTTGATTGCACTAATCTTGCCGATTTATTCAAGAACAAGAACAAAAGAAAAACATGCAAGAATTAGAGGGTTAAATGCAAATACATTGGCAGCTACTTCAGTACGTATGTGCTCAAGGTAATTTATACCACTATATTTAAGACTTATCCAACACGCACAAAGTTAGTCAAAGATTTGCACTGCGAAGTATTTTCTAGATAAGAAGTAGAAGCTCTTCAATCACTATTTTGACGAGACGACCTTAAGCACTGTAAGCGGGGAGACTGAGGGGAACATTTGTATTTATTACTTACTTTAATCTTTTGAGTAATGCGTTATACAAAACTGTTCACTTTACTAAACTTGGAATTCCTGGCACCTTTGGAAACAATGTTTGTCAGCTGTAACGATGGTGATTGATAAAATTATATTCTACATTATTATTTTGGGTGGCATGCACCCAGCCTCTCTACTGGGTATACGCTCACCCAATCTCAAGGTGCTGCATACAAGGACGCTTTCTGCCGTATATCGACCGGCCTTTTGCTCGTTACACTGGAACAAAACGTTAATGTGAAATGTTAAAGCCCTTCCTAATACTGCTGAGACTACAAAAAAGGTATTTAAGTTTTAATACCCTTGTTACACGGGCACACTTAACTGCAGTTACGCTAAGCCACAATTAGCGCACAATACTTGCCGACAACATTCTGCGGTGATGCAGTCAGAGCTATGGGCGAACGTGCGCTTGAGCATCTTGAGCACCCATCAAAGCAGTGCACGCGCTCTCTTCACTTCTTTTGAAATAGCTGTCCGAGGGTCTAGTGCGGCATCTGTGCTGCCACGTAACCGCAGTTAGACCTGAGGTAACCGCGGTTAAGTGTGCCCGTGTAACAGGGGTATAAATGTATCTTAATTCTACGGAAAAGGTCGGGAAACACAGCGTCCAGCGTGTTTTAAACCTGCGGTGGGGGGGATCGGTGGCCGAGTGGGCTGAAGCGCACACCCAGCTCGACGCGCGTGGAGCGAAAGCTCGCGCTGCAGAACCCAGGGATCCTGGGTTCGAGCCCCACCCCTGCCCGTTTCGATCTGGATGAGCATCGTACCGGCGTGCGGTCGTGTATCACTACTGCGTGGTGCACGTTAAAGACCCCAGGCTAGCGGTTGTACTGCACTGGCTAAATTGCTCATCTACAGCGTGTGACTCGTCGCAACTTTAAATGGCAGACCAACTACACGCTGTATAAATATCCCCACAACCCCAATTATTATTAAACCTGCGGTGAGTATTTATTTATGAGTTCTTCTGAGCGCGGGAGTTCGCTAAATATGGCAGGCGATGGCTCCGCTTGCCAAATTTGGCTGTCGTGTTGCCGACTTTTTGTGGTGGTCTCCTTTAACGGTGCATGCTGCATAAAAAAAAATGTAGTTATAAAACAAAATATCGGGGTTTTACGTTGCAAAGTAACTGAGGTATGCGGAGGACAAGTTCGGTCTGCTTCTTGCGCAGGGGGTAGCGGTGACGTCAGAACGCCGAGTCCTGATTGGCTGATCGCGACCCCCTATCTGAGCAAACTGAGCGTCGTCTGCTCCTTTGCAACGTCGTCTGCGTCTGTCTTACCTTTCCTGCGACTTTCGGAAGTGCAGGTCTTTACGAGCGAGCTCGACTTCGCCTTTCAGAGAGGGCAGACGAAATAACTCGAGCGGTACGTTGTTTTTGTCTAACAACTAGCAGCCGCGCATCAAGGAGGGAAGTCAAAGGACTCACTGGCGAGGTGTCCCGAGGCGCTGAGGTTTGTTTGCTAAGAACCGAGAGTAAGCGTGTTTGTGCCCCGCAAGTTCCCTCCCAAATACTTTTTCCCTCCTCTCGTGTGCGGCGAGACTCCTCACTTTTTAACGGCGTCGGCGGGTTGGCGCCGTTGGCGCAGTTAACGTCGTCTGCTTTACGTCTGCTAGGCAAAGCGATGGCTGCTTTACCTTTCCTGCGTCTGTCGGAGACTCACAGCTTTTTCATCGGCGAGAACGCGGCCTTCGAAAATGGCGAAAGGAAATACCTTGAAGGATACGTCCTTCCTTTTGAGGTGAAGGATTTCACTCTAGTCGCGAATGTCCAGGCGTCGTTTAAGAATTGTAGCTACGCGGTAAAGATGACGCTCTTCGATAAAGGTGACATTTTAGAGAGGCACTGTGAGTGCCCTCGCTGGGTCGCAAAGTGCAGCCACATGGTGGCTACCGCACTTTAAGCGGCTCTAAATGGACTGTCCAAGATGGACCTTCTGCAGCAGCGGCTGCGACGCCCCAAGAGCAGCATGCCGCGGCAGGTCGCTCGCTCAGGTAAGAAGTAAACACCGTGTTCATGGCTATGTTAAAATATTTGGTTGCACGAGTTTCGTGAATGGTACTTCGCGTTTAATGAGTTGTTCTAAGATAATCAGCTAATACCAGATGACAGGCGATGTAGTGACTGTAAATAAACAAATGCGGCTGTGCGATCGGTACTGTGAGCACATCATAGCCCAAACGTTCTCGATCACTGCTTGTCGTCACAACTTTCTCGCTCGACTAAAAGGCTGTTGTCAGTTAGCGTATTGGGGTATGTATGTGTGGCGTAAACCCAAGTGGCAAAAGTTTAAAAACCTGTGCTAGTCTGTGGAAGAGAATCCGAGCAAGATCGATCGAGCTACCCGAACGGCGTCGAACGTATCGTGGAAGTTATGTCGTAGTCTCGTTGACACCAAGAAATAATTATTGTTATAATGCAAATAAATGCAAAGGTGCAAGCGAACTGGACAAGAATGACGAAAATAATCCCTGGAGAAGGGGAACAGGAGGGACAAAGGTCAAACACAAATCTTTTTTCGAATGCCGCGTTCTCGCCGGTGAAAAAGCGGTGAATCTCCGACGTACCGCCCGAGTTATTTCGTCTGCCCTCTCTGAAAGGCGTAATCGAGCTCGCTCGTAAAGACCTGCACTTCCGGGAGTCGCAGGAAAGGTAAGACAGACGCAGACGACGTTGCGAGCAGACGACGTTGCAAAGGAGCAGACGACGCTCAGATTAGGGGGTCACGATCAGCCAATCAGGGCTCGGCGTTCTGACGTCACCGCTAGCCCCTGTGCAAGAAGCAGACGAACTTGCCCTCCGCATATGAATGACGCCCCAGAGGGAGGGTCATATGAATGACCCTCCATTTTTGGTGCTCCAAATGCTGAAACAAAAACTGCAAAGCTTGTATTAGTCAGAAGTTATCAAAAACTTGGACGTTTACAACATTGACAATTCTAAACAAAGTATTTCTACTTTATACTACCATATAAAAATATTAAATGTAATTGTATGTTACACGCTCTTTAAAGGGGAAAAAATCACCTTTGCTTTTCAGCGTGACTGAGTGCGTTGTCTCCGTCTGTAAGCGCCTACGACGAGTGAACAGACTGGCTCCATCTGTCAGGGAGCCCTAGAACCCTATCGATATGCGTACAAACGCTTTTCGCGCATATTACTCGAGCCACCGCCAGTCGGCGTACCCTCCGAGCCGCCATTGTTGGACCTCCAGTTATGATCGCGCCTTCTATTCCCACCTACAGGATACATCATTTGTAACCGCTATAGTCAGTTCGAGGTTAAGAAAAGTATTCGAGGAAAAGGAGAGCTGGGGAAGAGGAAGCAAACGGAATGCTGGAGAGGAGAGAAGGAAACATCCTCCCCTCTGCAGCGTTCCGTCTGCTTCCTCCTGCTTAGCCTTCCTTTCCCTGGAAAACTTCTCAACTTGTAACTGAGTACTGCGTGCGATGGGCGACCGCAATAGGAAGTGTGAACGCAGTCCAGCTGGGAAAACGTCCTCGATGGTAACATGTAAAATCTGCAGTGCAAGCATTAAGACATAAAACCATGATATGTGCGCTAAACAGGCCCATCTGGCGCACATGAATTGGGCATATTTCGTGCCATTTCCAAAACACCAATTACCCAAATGAAAAAAAAAAAAAAAACAGAGGACGACGTCGACAGTTGTTGCTACAATTCGTCGATGGTACGGCGGCTTCGATCAATCGCGACGGTATTCCTAATTTACGCACTTTACGC